TTAAAAATCTGTGTTTTTTTCATTATCTTTTGCAGGCCAGTTAGTTATACGTCAGCCTGAACACCTAAATTCGTCCAGTCATATATCAACGCTCATCTGTCAATTAAATTTTTTTGGTCATAGCATCTGGCTTCATATGTCGCAGCTAATATACGCAACGGGTGAAATAAGAGTAATTCCTTTCCCACTGAGTTCCGTCCCAGTGTTCACGGGGATGGACGTCTGTGTCTTCAGCAGGCGTAGATCTAACAGAACTGGCAGCGTTGCGAGGCAAGGGCTCAAACATGTACGGCTGGAAGCCTTCTACACCAAACCAAGCTTCTGCCGCCCTGGCGTCCTCTTCTACAACATCTTCGTCCCCGCTTTCCTCCTCTAAATAAAAAATGTCTGACGGAGGAGACTCATCCACGACCTCCCACACTAAACTCTCCTCTTGCATGTTTTCCAGTGTCCATCCCTGTGAACACTGGGACGGAACTCAATGGGAAAGGAAAATATTCTTATTTCAACCGTTGCGTATATTAGCTGCGACATATGAATCAAGATGCTATGATCGAAAAATTTGATTGACAGATGACCATTGATATATGATTGGCTGAATTTAGGTGTTCAAGCTGACGTATAACTAACTGGCCTGCATAAGATAACGAAAAAAACCAGCTGATTTTAAGACAGGATTTTTTTTTAAAGAGAAATTTTCTAACGTTTGGGATAATATCGTCTGATAAAGAGTACATTTATATACATGTTTAAGCTAGAATGATTTGAAATTCAAATATGACATCCCTACAACTTTAAATGAAATGTAAACATAATTCCAATTCTTTTAAGAACTATGTTTTTTAGTTTATGGCAAAGAAGGGAATTTTTTGTGTTTCTACGGTCAACAAGTAAAATTAGCAATAAAGAACCAATACTTAACACCTTGAATTTATATATTATTCAAAATGATGAACATAACCTTTCTGTTTTATTCATAAATCGTTTAACAACAGCGGACAGAAGAAACAAAGTGCTGTACAATAGTGTGGGGGAAAAAAGAATCAAAACATTGATCCATTAAAAAAAAAACTTAAAACAATTAAACAGATTTAGAACAACAAGGTCACAAACTAAGACTCACTAGCAGTAAACTCCCAAAAATAATAGCAGGTTTTAAGGTAGGTTGTGATGGAGCCATGAAAACAGAGTGGATATTATTGTACTAGGGCTGTAACTAATGAGTATTTTGCAAATCAATTAATCTGTCTTTTTTTTTTCTTCGATTAAACGATTTAAAGAAGACTTAACAATATTAAACCAGGAGAAACTCAATCTTTTCCACTTAAGGAGTTCTGAATAGAGCAAATTGACAGACGCAAATGTTTTTATCTTAAATTAAAAAAAGTATATATATATTTTTTTACAATCTTTGTATAATTACTGCTCTAGGTGGTCAGCTAAAGAAATGTTTTAGAGTCTCCCTTCTCCGGTTAACGATTAATCAATTACTAAATTAGTTGACTATTATTTAAATAATCAAATTATCCGATCCATTGTTTCAGCCCTAAATTGTACAATATTAAAATTGGCCGATGCCGTGGAGGTTTTTTAATAGCCTCAAATCTAAAAAAAAGTAGACTTTTAGATGTCTTTTTAAGATCCACAAAGCCCCAAAATGGCATTAGTTTTAATCAATTCTTTTTAAACTAATCAATACATTTCTGTTGACTTTAAATAATCCTTAATATAATAAAGAGGAGGAAAAAGAAGGCGGACTAGTAAAACAAGCGGTGAAGGTTTATTCTAATAGGGATCCCAAGGGTCACCATGAAGGATGGAGAGCAGAGGCACCTGACCTATAGTTTAACTTAAAAGCTCTGGCTGTGATGGAAAACAGTATAAAACCCTCTCTGATACATTCTAGTGGTTTTAATATGAAAAAATAGTTTTCCTTCAATGAAAATCAATGCAATTATTCCTTAACTAGCTAAAAATGTTGAAAGGTCCTTTAAATCATCTTATAGCTGCAGTCAGTCCAGGTATAGATGGAGAAAGAGCCTCCATGTTGGAAAATGTTAAAAAGAATATGAATTTCTCACAAGTCTACCATTCATTTTACATTTATATTTCTGAATTATATGTGTATTATAAATATGTAGTGTTTGCCCAATTACCGGTAATAGACAGGCTGTAGTTTTTAGGACTCATTTTATTTTTTAACAACTACAGCACTCCTGATTATTTAAGACGGGGAAAGTGGGATTTGGGCTTTTTTAGGATATCTATGTTTGCACTATATTGGGCAACTATTAGGGTGGAGAATTATTAGGGATGCACGATATAATCGGCCCCCTATCGGTATCGGCCTTAAAACTGAATATCGGACATCGGCCACCCCTCCGATATTTAACCCGATATTTGATCAGCTTCTGAGTTTCTAAAGTCTAAAAAAAAAAAAACTTATTTTTTACAGACTTAGAAAACTTCTAAAGACGAGGGAAAAAATATTGATACATTAAAATATCACAATATCTCCATATGCTGATATATTGCCATTTAAAAACACCATATCAATCTCTTTTACTAATGAAATATTGCTATATGTCATCGTAATGCTATGAAATCCCCCGAAAATTAACCAAATTTTTCCATATTTTTATATGTTGATATATTGACGCGGTATCGATCTATTTTACTAACAAAATCTCACAAGAATTTGCAAAATATCACGAGAGTTTGTAACAGAACGATGAAATTTCACGAGATTTTGAAAGTAAAATAGATCGATACCGCGTTTTTAAAAATCAATTTGATATCAGCATATGAAAATATATTTGAGTATATTATTTTTCAAAGTGTCAGAAATGGATAACAAAACTGCTATTTTCAATGACTACTTATTTTTGTCCAGCTTTAACATCAATATCGATATCGGTTATCGGATACGTGAGTTTTGAAATATCGGCATATCGGATATCGGCCAAAATCCCAATATCGTGCATCCCTTTATTATGCAACTAAAATAAAAATGAAAATGTACTCATCTGTATTGTTTATTTTTAATCATAAAAGTGAGAATAAAAAATAACTCAAAATATTCAAATAAACTTTACTGATATTTAAAAATATATCGGCGAGCATTACAGCTGGCTTTCTTTTCAGTAACGGTTAGAAGCTCCTCATTTATGGAGTCCGTCAGATTCTTAATTTGCTGACGGTCGACTTTTTGTGCACCTGCAACCCAAGCCTCCCACACTGTCCAGTGGTAGATTGTTTTCCTTTACTGTAAATCTCCTGTTTAGGAAAGGCCCTACTCCCTCTCAGTAGGGTTTATGTCAGGTGAGGAAGGGGGCCGCATCATCATTCTTTCATCTTTAAGACCTTTACTTGCGAGTCACACAGTGGAGTACTTGGATGCATGCCAGGGGCTTTGTCCTGCAGAAAATTCATGGACTTCTGATCCCCTCTGGCTTCCTCACTGCCCTCTCCATCTTCTTATCTACTGCATCTAATTAATTTTTTTCCAAAGCTCCTTCTAATAAAGTTTTATACACAATTACCAAGTGGGACTTTATGGCAATGATGGTCTACTTCTGAAAGCAAATTATTATAAAGCAAGTTGATTCAAAGTTCTATCTATGGAAAACCAGTCGATTGCATCGACTCATTGACTTGAAGACAATCCCTCACATTAAGAATGCTTGTAGTGACAGTGGAGAGGAAGCTCCTTTTTAACAGAAAGAAACCTCCAGCAGAACCAGGCTCAGTGTGAGCGGCCATCTGCTGAGGCCGACTGGGGTTCAAGGAGACAGAAGCAGAGATACAAAAAGCAGCTGTAAAAGGCCAGGAAACACACAGCCAGGCAGACGAGCTCCGAGCCAACTCCCATGTCAGAGGATGAATAGAGCACATCCAGCCAGTCACAGTCAGAGAAACAGGACTACACTGAAAAACAGAAGAATAGCTGAAATTTCTCTCCAGGATGGAGTCACAGCCAAACTGGAACAAACCAGATGAAGATGCTATGAGAAAAAGCAGAGAGAGCAGAACGTTAGAGATTGAACTAAATAATCTGCAGAGTGGGAGAATAGAGATAGAATGGTGAAAAAGGGTCCCTATGTCCTCCAGCAGTCTAAGTCTATAGCAGCATAACTATAGAGATAGCTCAGGATAACCTGAGCCACTCTAACTATAAGCTTTATCAAAAAGGAAAGTTTTAAGCCTAGCCTTAAAAGTAGACAGGGTCTCTGCCTCACGGACTAAAACTGGTAGTTGGTTCCACAGGAGAGGAGCCTGATAACTAAAAGATCTGCCTCCCATTCTACTTTTAGAAATTCTAGGAACCACTAGTAAACCTGCAGATTGAGAGCGAAGTGCTCTGTTAGGAACATAAGGAACAATCAGATCTCTGATATCAGATGGAGCTTGGCCATTTAAGGCTTTATATGTGAGAAGGAGGATCTCAAATAGGAAAAGGGGGTTTGAGTTATCTCTATAGATCGCATCAACAGGGCAATGCACTGATCAGGAAAGTGATTCAGGAACATTGCATCATAAACAAATAGACTCGGGAACAGTTTATCTCACTAAGCTCTGAGCTCTCTTTTGATTTGTTTTTGGTTTTTTTTTTTTGTTGATTCCTCTTATGGCTCGAAAACATAGATTTTTTTCATGACTTGGACAAAAATAATAAGAAATAACAGTTGTTCACTGTTCCGATTATGAGCTAAAAGATCGACTTTGTCTAAACTGTGAGCAGAAATGATTACATCGGTGCTTGCTAATCGGAGAATGTGGGAGCTAGGCGCTTCCTGGAGGATGTGGGTAAAGATGAGAGCTGCTCAGGGAGCAGAATTCATAAAGATTACTCAGACATGCATGAAACAAGCAAAATACCAGGTTTTGCATAATTATTATTACAAGTTAAACACTTTAAAAATGTTACCACTAATACGGCTTTAATGAAACTCTGTCCTTTAGAATCATCTGAAACCTCTGGAGAGAGAGAGAGAGAGAGAGAGAGAGAGAGGAGCAACACCTGGAAGGAGTACTGCTGTGTCTGAGAACTGAGGAGGGGTGTCAGGAACGGAGGTTTACCTGCAGCCATGCAATGCTTAAGGACTACAGTTGCAAGGCTTCGGCCTTTAGCTGTCACACAGGCCACCCAGAGCCTGGCACAATGCCGGCCATCAATGCCTGAAGGAGGCGTAAGGACGCTTCAGCCTGTGAGGAGCCTGAGTGAATCTGCGGCTGCTGAACCGTTTCTCAATGGAACCAGTTCTAACTATGTTGAGGAGATGTACTACGCCTGGTTGGAGAATCCCAAGAACGTTCATAAGGTGGGGAAGCTGTATGATGGGGGATGGGGGGGGGGGGTTTATGCCATGTGATGGTATTTGGCATTAGAAAATAAATGTTTGTGGATTCTCGTCTTTAAATCAACCGTAGGGTTCAGTGCTTTTTTGCAGAATAATCATCATCCTTTTTCTCCAGCTTCAATAGAGAACTTTCAATTGAATCTGATAATTCAGTACTGATAACATATTGTTGCAGCATTGTGAGCAGTGTGGTTTTTGACAGCCATCTTAGATTTTGTCTTAGTCTTCAGGACAAAAACTATTATTAGTCTTAGTCACATTTTAGTCATTATGATATGTGATCGTTTTAGTCGGTTTTAGTTGACTAAAACTCAAAAAGGTTTTAGTGAGTGTTTTTTTTTATATTTGCACTTTTTATTGAAGATATTTTTAAATATAGTATTAACCAACAAAGTCTGATCTCCATGGTGAAATAAAACCCCGCCAATTTTCATAATAATTTTTTAATTGTCCAGATTCAAATCTGGTGGAAAAGGTCAGCCTTTCCATAATATAAATATTATGTATTATGTCAACCCAATCTTCCCTTTTAGGAGCTTCAGCCATTTCCTAGTATTGGCTTTTTTGCTTGCTACCAACATAATCCTATAAATATATTTCAGCTGGATATTTCCATCCCTCTCCCCATGAACAAATCATCAAATGTGAATGGAATACATTCCCCCACCCCCCCCCCACCCCCCCCCCCCCACCCCCCCCCCCCAGTACCTTATCCATACAACTCTTTAAATCCTGCCAATAGGGGAACATCTACAGGTGCTGGTCATAAAACTTGAATATCATGAAAAAGTAGATTGATTTCAGTAATTCCATTTAAAAAAGTGAAACTTGTATATTATATACATACATTACATACAAACTCATATATTTCAGATGTTTATTTTGTTTATTTTTGATGATTACAAATGACAACAAATGAAAATCTCAAATTCATCATATCAGAAAATTAGAATATTACTGAAGACCAATAAAAACAAAGGATTTATAGAAATGTTGGCCAACTGAAAAGTATGAACATGAAAAGTATGAGCATGTACAGCACTCAGTATTTAGTTGGGCCTCCTTTGGCCTGTATTACTGCAGCAATGCGGCGTGGCATGGAGTCGATCAGTCTGTGGCACTGCTCAGGTGTTATGATAGCCCAGGTTGCTCTAATAGTGGCTTTTAGCTCTTCTGAATTGTTGGGTCTGGTGTATTGCATCTTCTTCTTCACAATACCCCATAGATTTTCTATGGGGTTAAGGTCAGGAGAGTTTGCTGGCCAATTAAGAACAGGGATACCATGGTCCTTCAACCAGGTACTGGTAGCTTTGGCACTGTGTGCAGGTGCCAAGTCCTGTTGGAAAATGAAATCTGCATCTCCAAAAAGTTGGTCAGCTGCAGGAAGCATGAAGTGCTCTAAAACTTCCTGGTATGTGGCTGCGTTGACCCTGGACCTCAGAAAACACAATGGACCAACACCAGCAGATGACATGGCACCCCAAACCATCACTGACTGTGGAAACTTTACACTGGACTTCAAGCAACGTGGATGAAGTGCCTCTCTTCTTTTCCTCCAGACTCTGGGACCTTGATTTCCAAAGGAAATGCAAAATTTACTTTCATCAGAGAACATGACTTTGGACCACTCACCAGCAGTCCAGTCCTGTTTCTCTTTAGCCCAGGCAAGACGCTTCTGACGCTGTCTGTGGTTCAAGAGTGGCTTGACACAAGGAATGCGACAGCAGAAACCCATGTCTTTCATACGTCTGTGTGTGGTGGTTCTTGAAGCACTCACTCCAGCTGCAGTCCACTCTTTGTGAATCTCCCCCACATTTTTGAATGGGTTTTGTTTCACAATCCTCTCCAGGGTGCGGTTATCTCTCTTGCTTGTACACTTTTTTCGACCACATCTTTTCCTTCCCTTCGCCTCTCTATTAATGTGCTTGGACACTGAGCTCTGTGAACAGCCAGCCTCTTTAGCGATGACCTTTTGTGTCTTGCCCTCCTTGTGCAAGGTGTCGATGGTCGTCTTTTGGACAACTGTCAAGTCAGCAGTCTTCCCCATGATTGTGTAGCCTATAGAACTAGACTGAAAGACCATTTAAAGGCTTTTGCAGGTGGTTTGAGTTAATTAGCTGATTAGAGTGTGGCACCAGGGGCCATCAATTTTGAACCTTTTCACAATATTCTAATTTTCTGATATGATGAATTTGAGATTTTCATTTGTTGTCATTTGTAATCATCAAAATTAAACAAAATAAACATCTGAAATATATGAGTTTGTATGTAATGTATGAATATAATATACAAGTTTCACTTTTTAAATGGAATTACTGAAATCAATCTACTTTTTCATGATATTCTAATTTTATGACCAGCACCTGTAGGTACAATCCCAAAACACATGGAAGTGGCCTGCTCTATCCTCTCCAATGCCTCCAACATTTAGTATCTGGGTATTTTGTTTGTGCTGGTGTACTGAAATATCTTACAATCTTCTTCCAGCCAAACTCTCTCCACAAGGGGGAACATGTTCTTCACTGTTGCCTACATATCTCCTCCCAGTTCTCCTAAGAAAGTCCACAGTTAGCGTCTTTTTCCCATCTTACTTTTTTGTATATTGTATTGCTTTTCTTCAAAATTTCCAATCCTGTGTACAATCTAGATATTTTCTTTCCCAAGTTTGACTCTTTTGTTGAAATAAACATCTTAAATTGGACTTTTTTAATAATTCTTCCGTATAGTGCCTCAATTGTAAGTACCTGAGGAAGTCCTTGTTGTTTAAATCATATTTATTCTTTATTTCTTCAAAGCTTCGTATAGTATTTTTCTTAACAACCTCCCAGAATATCTTTGGACCTTTTTCCCATTTACTAAATGTTTTATCTTTTACATTAGGTTTAAAATCTGAATCATATGCTATCCACCTCAGTACTCTACTCTGCTCTGTCAACCCATATTTTAAAATAATTTTATTCCATATGTCAAGAGATAATCCTAGCCATGGATTTGACTCCTCCCTAAGGTGTTTTCTCTGCTCGTTATCATTTATTATGGCTTGTAGAGGTATCGTGGGTGACATAGCACGTTCTATATCTTTCCATTTCGCGGTGTATAATGGATCGCTTATGTTCAGGAGAGGAGCAAGCTGTGCTGCAACATAGTAGCTAAAGGAATAGTACACCCAAAACATGATTAGCCTTCATTTTCTACTCACCCCCATGCTGAACAACACTCTGGAGTACTTTTTTGATATCTCAAATGCATCTGGAGATCTGGGAGGCTTCTTGCTGTCTGCTGACATTCAAATAATGGAGGTCTATGGCGCCCGAGGCAGAAAGGTCCATAAAAGTCCACAAAAAACGTGTCAATATTCCTCCATACTGCTCGTCCAATGTATTCCAAGTGTCCTGAGTGGGTAGCATCCAGAATTTACTCGAAACGAAGTCATTTAGAATGTTTTTAGAGCATAAACAGTAGTGTATAGGAGTTCCTAAAAGTGCGCGCCTGCGAGTTCACGATGCTACGGAAGCCGGCAGACCAAACCAGATGAAAGTGCGCATTCAGCGTCTGCTCTGCCGATAATGCAAGCATAGAAGAAGAAATGTGCTGTTTACCTGTGCAAAGAAAGAAACAACGAAAGAAAAATGTCTGAGGACTTCAGTGTTGAGGAAGAGCATGAGTTCTTTGCCGAGCTGAATGCGCACTTTCATCTGGTTTGGTCTGCCGCGGTTTCCGTAGACTCGTGAACTCGCAGGCGTGCGCTTTTAGGAAATCCTTTACACTACGGTTTATGCTCTAAAAACATTCTAAATGACTTCGTTTCGAGTAAATTCTGGATGCTACCCACTCAGGACACTTGGAATACATTGGACGAGCAGTATGGAGGAATATTGACACGTTTTTTGTGGACTTTTATGGACCTTTCTGTCTCGGGCACCATAGACCTCCATTATTTGAATGTCAGCAGACAGCAAGAAGCCTCCCAGATCTCCAGATGCATTTGAGATATCAAAAAAGTACTCCAGAGTGTTGTTCAGCATGGGGGTAAGTAGAAAATGAAGGCTAATCATGTTTTGGGTGTACTATTCCTTTAAGACAGGGTAAAGCTAACCCCCCTTTGTCCTTCGATAACAGCAAAGTTCTGAATCTAATCCGTGGTCCTCTTCCTTGCCATATGAATCTTGATATGATTTTATCCCATTCTATAAAGTCTTTATCCATCTTTTAGTCAGTTTTATGTTGCAAAAAAAGTTAACCTTTACAATTTCTAATAACAACCAGATTCTTTACCAGACTGACAGCTCTATCCTAGATACTACAATAGCTTGGTATAGAATGCTGCCGTGCAGTTCATCATTGCTGTTGGACAGAAAACTTTGATTTATAGAATTCAAATCCACTTTTTTATTATTTAATGCTCTACTTTATAAAAAAGTTCTCACAAAGTTGTAAAAATAGCAGATCTAGTTCAACATATCCTATTGGTTAATCTAGCAGAAAGACAAGCTAACAAAATGTACAATAAAGGAATGATTTTAAACATGCAAGGTTTCCATCATAAAGCACTTTTGGCTTTATTTCTGAGCATTTGCCCCTTAATTACTGTTGCTCAGGGGTCAAAATAGATTTAAATTCACAGGGTTTTGATATAAAAAATACAGAGAGAACCTACAAAACTGCCTTGTAATGCCATAGCAATTCAGACCTAAATTGAGCGCATATGTTAACTAAAACGTTGACATATTTAAAGGAAACAGAGAAAATGTTTTAATGACAATACAAGGAAAAATGTATATCTTTTCTAAATAGAAACAAGAACAATCAGAGAGACATATTCAAAGATCTATGTACCTTTTCATCGGGCTCTTTATCCAAAAATAAACAGAATTCAACGAAATATTTACTTTGGATATAATTTAGGGATTCCTTTTGGTAGAAATTAAAGAAAGTTTAGTATCACCTCTTGTGAGGTGGAA